TAAAGGTCTCAAACACCTACAGCTCGTTTCGAATGCAGGAGGCTCTGGGACTCCCCTGCTTTCTGGACTGGGCTCTAAATCAACCCCCAACACCAGGGGCTGGCACAAGCTGCCCTGTGCCCAGCTGCACACCACAGACACCGTGCTGAGGGCAAGGATCAGCCACGTCAGACCTCCCCCTCCGAGGAGACACTGCCAGCTGCAGCCCCCAGCAGAGCTGAAGCCCCAGCAGAAGCAAGGCTGGCACACAAGACACTTGCCTGAAACACGTGCTGACGAGTCCTTCCCCTGAGGATGTGACTGGGGCAGGAGAAATGGCACAGAAAATGTGCACAGGTGCTTCATCCAAAACACTGCTACCTTTGCATGAAAATCAGCACGATGTAGTAGGTGGGAAAGATTCAGGTGGACATCAATAATTTCTACCAGTAAGTTTTTTTTCTATAAAATATTAAATAAGCTTATAAATTATGATGAAAATAAAACCCTGTGTTTCACAACAGGATCAGATAATAATTGTCAGATCCTTACTGGTGTGAAAGTGGGGTGAAGTCTGGATTTATTCCAGTGCAACCAAGACTAGAGACCTGCCCTTACATCCTCAGTCACACTGGGGGGGTGTGGTCCATCCAGCCCTCCTCACCTGCCCCAGCCCTGCCCCAGGATCCAAGCCACGGGAGGTTTTGGGGAATGCCTCCCCAGGAGCCCTGCAGGTGGCTTTCCCCCCGGGGGAGGCTGGGCTGAGCACCCAGCACCCCCACCTCTGCAGTGCTCCAGCCCACAGCCTGTCCAGGCAGGTCCTGGAAACAGTAAATACACAGAGAGGAGTTTTAGGCAGACAGAGGGTTAGACTGTCCTCAGTCTAAAGGTACAAGGAAGAGAGATTCTGAGAAGACTCATCCAGGTGCACAGACACACACAAAGAGGGACAGAAAAAAACCAAGCAGAACAATAATAACAATAGTCAGAAAGTGATTTGTTCTTAACCTGTTCAAAATAAAAATAACTAGTGTACAAGTTCACTCCTTGGACCATCTGCATCTCATAAGCATAAGTTAAAAACCTGACACCATCTGTTCAGCTGGGATTCTAATACCACACAGATATGCCAAATCACAATTACACCAGCAAGGACAGCAGCCTCCTCGTTTACCAACCAGCTCGTTGCCATCCCCTAATGAGACAGGGTGACAAGCAGCCAGCTTGGAGCAAAGGGACTCTGGGTGCTTGCTGCTCCCCTGGGGGTGGGGGAACTGGCCCAGGCTGTTGGTGGCACTCCTGGAGCTGCCCTCACAGCCCTGATGGAACCAGAAAACTGGGGTAGGACACCTGAAGACTGAAAAACCAAACAGAAAAAGTTCTCCTGGACCATAATTTGTTCTCAGCACCAGCAGTGCACTCGCCATCCTGCAGAGCTGGGAGCCCAAGGAAGCTTCCAGAAGAGAGATCCAGCACCACTGTGGTGAGGCTCCAGTCCCCTGGCACTGTCCCAGTGCCCTTTGCTGGGCCATGGTGGTGGCTGGGACAGGCTGGTCCTGCTGCACCTCTGCCAGGCATCAGTCACAGACACCCCCACGACTTCTGCTTGTGATGGGCCAGAGATGCCAGCAAGAGCCAGAGTGGTTGGTGTTGTGCATTCAGGGAGAGTTTGGATTAAATAGCAAAAAAATGCCTTGTAAAGTGTCTAAAAATACCTAGTTTGCTAAATTAGCCTAGCAAGATTTATACCATCTTTTAACTAATTATTACTAGAGAGGCTGTTGAAAGCCTTTCCATGTTTTTTTTATTGGTCCTAGAGGGAAAGAAATCAATTTTAAAATGGAAATTAATATAATATCTGCCCAGCCCCTTCCTCAGTGAATTTTTTTTTTGCTTAGCAATATTGTAGTTACAAACCATACATCATGTCCTGCACTTCTTAGGATCAATTTCTTCAAGAAAAACAGAAATGTGTTCCCTTACCACTGCAGGATATAAAGTGAATGAAACAGAGGGAGGGGAGGGAGGCAAAACACCATCAAGCCAGTAAATCTTAAAGACGTAGCACATATCCAATCTTTCCTGATCAATGGAACTACGTAGGCATGTTCACAAAATTTAATTAAGTTCTGTTCCCCAAGAAATCTATGTGCAATGTTTCCCTGGAATTATTTATTTACTCTCTGCCATGTAGCTTTTAGCTTTCCCCCAGACAGTGATTGCTTTCCGCTGCAGTTTCATCAGCGGGTGCACAGCACAGGGGCTGCTTCCCGAGCCCTTTGTGGGAAGCTCTGCTCCTCTTTCACTGTCTGCAGGTTGACTGGCTTCTTCCAAAGAAAATCTATTAATGGATTTAGATGCACTTCAAGTATGATGGTGCTGTTTGTAGCAGAGACACTAGGAAAAGTTGTAAAAGAGATGTCCAAGTGAAGCACAGCCCGTTCAGCTGCCCGCAGCCCTGAGTGCTTTTGCCTGTTTGCATCCTGCTTGCTCTGACCCCGTGTCTGTGAATGCACAAACTCAAACCTCTGTGCCACTGCAGTGAATTTATCTGGGCAGGGGATGATGTGCAGCCCCCAGTCAGAGGCAATGGAAGATGTCTGATGGCTGGGGAACAGCACAGCCCCAGACTGGAGCCCCGAGTCCTTCCCTCAGCTTGTCCATGGAAATCAAAGATTCTGCAGAGCTGCCTGGGGAGAAGCAGACAGATCGGTCACCCTGTCCACATGGGCAGGATCTAGCTGCTAATGTGCCACCTGCTTCGTGCCAGCCTGACTGGAAATGTGTGGGCTGCTCTTGGAGAAGGAAGGATGCAAAGATTACAAGTTTCAAATGGACCATCTTCTCCAGTCCTTCATGGTTTGGCACAGGAAAGGTTATTCAGACTCCTTAAACCCAGAAAGTCTTTATAAAGTAAATACTGATGCTCCCTAGATACAAGTCCAATGTTTTGAAGATTTAAAAGTGGGTGTAGGATAGAGCAGGGTTTGATTCTCCCCATTAGTGACCTCCAGGAGATCTGCCAGCCCCAATGGGATGCAGACTACCATGGGCTGCCTAATCCACACCTGGGAAATTTTGCTTTACCTCTATAATGGCAGACTCACTTCTATTCATTGCCCATTCTGCAAGCAAACCAACTAACAGATACAAACCAGGAAAAAGCCTCACCGTGACACCCATTTTTATTTTAAGTCCATTGTGACAATACTGGGAGGGAGGGTTATTTATTTATTTACTTTTCTATCACGAAGGACATCAAAACCAGTGCACAGAATAAATACTGCTGGTACTAAATGCTCATATTTACAATAACATGTGGAAACGTTCACTGGACTTCCAAAATCAGGATCAGCCTTGCCTGAACTGGCCTTAGCCAACCTCCCTGGGGACTGCAGCAGAGGAGCCCAGTGAACCCCCACAGAGGAACCTGGTCTCTCCCCAGCAGTGTGGATGTCACCAAGCTGTGGCAATTCTTCCCACAGACAGAACTCTTTCACCTAAGGACTCTAGAGCAACAGATTCTGTAATCAAATCTTTATTTTTATCAGCATCCTTATTTAAATATCCTTTGTCTGCTTAAAGTAAGGCAGACCAGCTTTCTATCTGCTCTGACTTGAAGGAAGGGAATGAATTATTCCTCACACAATATAAGTGCATTGACTTGAGAGAACAGAGGATTTGTTCTCTTGAATGCTCACAAATGAATGAAATCAAGGATACCAGAAACTACTCTTGCCCCAGCTAGGAAACACATGCTTCTGCATCTTGATAAATGTGGCTGCAGCAGGGGAAGTAAAGACACCCTTGGGCTGCACGTGGTTTAGGTTAAACAACGTCCAAGGGAAGGGAAGAATTTAATGGAGCCACAGGTACAAAACCTCTCTAACCTACAGGTTTTGTGGTTTAAGAGGTGATGGCAGGACTGAGAGAGTGACTCTATCCAGTGCTGGCAGAAGGCCAGAGGTAAATCAGAGCCATAGCATGTCATGAGCAAACCAAGGAGGCAAACGGAGCTCAACCTTCAAGACACTGTCAGCAACAAGTTTCTGACAGTGGCCTCGCAAGGAATCACAGCTGTGCTTAAATCAAGCACATTAAATACATTCCCTGTGTCAAACCATGAGGTGCCTTCCATGGCACACTGCCCTGATTAGCCAAACCACGGGGGAGCACACACTGGTGGCAGGGTGAGAGGCAGCACGGGGATAACATGCTGCAGAATGCCTGGGTAGATCTTCAGCTGTGGTAGCTGGTGCAGCTCTGCTGGGCTCAGCAGAGCTTTTATCATTAACCTGAGCTCTTTATATTTACTCTTCTGTCTATAAATACAACATTAGCAACAAGCATTAACCATTAAGGTAATAAATAATATAATAAATAGTACTGTTTACTCATAAAAATTGTATTACCAGTGACCACTATTGGGCCATTAGTTCAGAAACAGAATTCCCTCTTTAACTCTGCATGAGGACAGTGGTAATCATTTTTCCTCACAATTATGCTGCCACATCACACCAAATGGAAAGAACCAGGCATCCTCCTCTTCAGGACCAGCTCCCTGCACTGGCTTTGATAATCACCTAAAAACTAAGAGAGTCAACCAAAGAAAACCAAAGCACTTTTAAAATAATCAGCACCTCACCAACCCCCTCCTTGCTGATTTTTGCATGTTATGAGCAAGGAGGCTCCTCAGTTCTCCAGGAGCCCCAGTCTCTGCTGCCCAGCTCACGCTCGTACAACACCACGCTAAGAGAACAGAGAAACTCTGTTCCTGTGCTGCATGAAAGCATCCGTTACAAAGGCAGGTTTTATATTTAACCTAACTGCTGATCAGTAACCACATCTGCATACAAGCATCCAAACAGTGAATCTGCAGAAAGCCATCTTCACTTCCCAGGATCAGCCTCTGCCATCCTGGTCCTTTTGGGAACCAGCCGATGGACGTGCCCACACCAGCAGTGAAAACTCTGAGCCCAGAAATATTCAGTAACGTTCCCTTTGCAGGAGCTCAACTAAACCTTTTTCCAAGCTCTCTGATGACATGCTTTTTGCTCACTCAAGCTTTGCTCTGAGTTTTTGGCTTTGAGAATATTTAAAGTGCAAAATTCAGTCAAAATCAGCATGTTCCACTGGGTTCTATTTCAGCCTGATTTAATTCCGGTGTAAAAATACACTCGGATTCAGTTTGATGGAAATTCAATCTGAAGTCTTGAATAAGTCTCCTCCAAAACATACAGAGAGAGAACTTTAGATTTGGCTTTCAGGCCCTGGCCATGGCCTAATGCCCAAGCAGCCACGCTGGGTCTCCATTCCCACCCACAGCCTGAGCTCAGAGCAAGAATCCCTGAGAGAATCCCTGGGGCTGCTGCTCCCTCCAGCATAATTCTGCTCTTCCAGAAGTGCACACTAGAGCGTGGGTTCAATTCCCTGTTGGAAATTCAAGGGTTGGGAATGTTGTAGTCCTTCTCCAGCATGGTCCAGAGCCCCGTGTCTGGAGCACAGCTATAGATTTTCACTGCAGACTTATAGGAGCTTGGTTTTGAGGTTTTCAGGATGGATTGGAAGCCAGGACACCCAGGTTCTCTTCACTGTATTTTCAGTGGAGGAATTTTTTAGCTGCCTTAGCAGCTAATCAATGACCTCCTATAAATCGCTAATCACTTTGTTAGGATTAGATTCAGAAGAAGCACTGGAAAATTTTTATCACTAGTGATTTATGAACCAGCTTGCAAAGTCCAACAGGTCCTTAGAGCTGCAGAGTGCTCACACCAGTCCCGGGCTGATGGACTGAAAGGTGCTTTACATGACTGAGAGTCAATAGAGAGCGGTCAACAGGCTCACACTAATTGAACAGTTTATATTTATGGGGATCTCAACAAAGCTTCCACCCAGCTATTGAAATGTAGATAGCATTCTCACAATTCTAGACTTCTCACTTCCTTTTAAATGTCATTAGAAAACCAATATAACACGCTAATTTGGGGAAACTAAGGGAAACAGCCTACACAGCACTCCGATGCTCAGGACACTGCTGTTCATTCTCTCATTTATTCACCCCGCTAGCAGAGATAAATCCAAGGGATGTTCATTCCAAAAGAAAAGCCCAAAGCTCTTAGGAAGGCCTTAGCAAGGGCCATTAGCAGAGAAAAAAATACCAGCTTCCCACACTGGACCAGTGAAGGGAGATGTTACCTTGTGCAGCAAGCTTTTCTGTTCCATATTATCATCAGACCTGGACCCTTAGGGACTTCAGAGGCATCGCTGGTGTTCAGCACTTCCCACATCATCAAGCAACATGCTCCCTTCCAGCATTAGATTTCAAGCTGGAGCTCCACTGTTCCTTAAGCACTTGGGTCAATAGTAGGAGGCATGATAATGGCAGCAGTGTTTTATTGTATTACAGTATTAACTTGAGCATGTTTTCTGAAAGTAGCAGGGGAAATCCCTCCAGGTTCATTGGACTGCCCAGTTCAGCTCATTCACCTTTACACCTTACTGACAATTGAAGCAACTCTACCAAGTCTAACTCACTTCAGCCTATTTTCTTCCTCTATGAAAAAAAAATACAGTTTTAAGCAAGTTTCATACAAGGTTACTCTTGCTTTTTGCAAAGTTGTAGTTTAGATTTTGCTTCTTGTCTCCTTATTTACTCTGTGTTAGTCTTGAACTTGAAAAGCCGAAAAAAAAGGAGAAGAAACTGAGAAAGTGTTGTGGTTACAGATTTAAACAAATCCAGGATGGCTGGAAAGAAAATAAAACCCCAACCTGCTGCAAGGAAGTGTTTGTCTGTGTCAACAATATGTTGCTGATATTCACTGAATGGCAAATATCTCTGTTATGTTTTCTTGTTTACACTCCTTCGCTCTCTCCGATTTTGTTTCTGTAAGAACCACAAGTACATTTCAGCACACTGTTAAAGGGGCCAGACCCCACCAGGCTGAGTCAAGCTGCAGAGAAGCTGCTGGTGGGAGCCACTGCACTGCTCCACAGCGAGCAGCCCAGGGCTGCTGGGCCACTTCCAGCCCTGCCTCTGCCATCCCCGGGCAGCAGACTGACCCCTCCCCGTCCCCACACCTCCCTGGGACACCTTCTATCACAGCAAGCCCCTCCTCTGATCAGCCAGTCTACTGAAGCCGTGCTGTGGGACCTCATGTGCACTGCTCCTGGAAGACATCCAGCTCAAGACTGCAGTTTAAAATACATTGATTTTTTTTTTCTCCTAGATGCCAGCCCTCCCTGGTTAATCCCTGAGCCATTACAGTCTCTTTCTGGATCACAGAGCAGCAGGAGCAACACAAGCTTCCCACGGGAGGTTCTGCCTCCAGCCTGTACCTGTTGGTCCAGCAGCAGCAGAGGTGGTGGCCAGGAGCAGTGGGACACAACCACAACTTGTGCCCATGGCCAGGCCCCCACTTCACCCAACCCTGAGCTGATGTCTCCATCACCCCCATGACACCTGCACTGCACGGGCTGCCTCAGCCCTCCTGACAGCTTGGGGAGAGAGGGAAGACCCAAACGCCAGGTCAAAACCCACAATAACCTCTGTGAGCCATGCTGATTTCATCTCCTGACCTCACAAAGCCCCTTCCACCACAGAGGTCCCCACGGGCACGGGAGGGAGGGGTGGGAAATCCCCTCAGCAGGAAATCTGTCCAGCTGCTGTCCCTGTGTCCTGGCAGAGGCAGGATTTGCATCACCAAGTGGTATTTTTGAGCAGCAGGGTAACAGTTCTGCACTATTGTTTCTAAGCATCTATCTCAAACTTTTAAGCTGATGAAGATCACATTCAAAGGACGATGAAATAAGCAGCCAAGGTGAATATTGGGTAGAGACAAAGGCCAGCACCCAAAAGCCACCCTTGGCAGCTCCTGAGCAGCACTATTCATGCTTTGCTAGAATGAACTGCAAGTCCTATGTTCAAGCAACTTTAATCAAGTTTTGCTTCAGTTACTCATTGAGCTGGAGTTAGACTAATCTAACAAGCAGATTTGACAGCATTGGTTTCCAACAGATAACAGCATTTTTTGTCTATGCAATAACTCTAATCCAAAACTCTGCAGGCTTTCCAGTCTGCCATGACAAAAGGGGAAAGAATCAACTGTCACTCGAGTCTGACCAAAAAAGCCCAGAGCAAGGTCCTTCTGACATGAGCATGCACACAGCCTTGGCTGCTTACAACCCCCCACCTGCAGAGGATCACCCTCGTGAGAGGGAGTTTTGTTTGGCAAGATGGATCAGATTCACTGATGGTGACAAGAATTACCTGGAAACAGGAACATCTGTCAGTAGGAAAGGAAGCTGGCATTACTCACTGGATTAGAATTTGTTATCTTTTGGGCCATTTTGATGTTCACTGATGTAAAACCAGACAGAACCAACTACTGGAACATCTGACAGTATCAGTTTAAAGAGAGGAGAAAATAAATGATACTCCTCCTGCCCATCCAGCCCGTTTGACAGCCCAGCTGTGGGTGGCACTGTGCACCAGCGTTCACTTCTGTTAGTCTCCTACCACAGGATCCATTTGGGAGGCAGTGGTATGAACATCAGTATGGGATCTCCTCGCTCTGCTCACACACACAAGGTGGCTGCACTGATGGTGTAAAGAACACCAGGATTACCCCAGAGACACACGTCCAGTGAATGGCCACCAGAGTGCAGCTGCAGAGGGTGGCACTTGGCATTGCTCTTCCCTCCTGCACAGCCCCACCACAGAGGATTCACCTGTTTATCCCAGGATAATCTAAAAACCACTTCACAAACACCTCTGCACATCAGTCTCCTCCCAGCCAGTGAAAAGCACACCCAGCCAGCACCTTCTGGAGAGTAAGGTGAGCAGGTCAAAATTTACAGCTGTCCCTAGGACGAGTGGAGGCAGCACATGTGCTTCAGGAACAAGAGCCTTGTTAGTTAATTTCTGGCTTTCTGAGCTACAGTACCAGGAGTGTCTCAGTTTCCTTTGAACATCTGCAAGTGCTTGAGCTGCTCCATGTGTGCTGATGTGAGGTGGCCAGCACAAGGCATGGCCTAACCAAATCAGCCTGTTGTCCTGATTTTCTCATGCTTGCCCAGATTTTGAAACACAGCCTTAGGAAGGGCAGAGACAGACAGCCTGTCTAAATCCTCATATACTTTTCTGCTAGAGAACTTGAAGGAGCATGTGCCAACCCCTCTCCACCTGCTTGTTGCAGGAAAACATTTGGGTTAAACGGAAGGCTTGACGTATCTAACAAGTCTCCCTCACCGTGTCTTGCTGTAGTTGTCAGTACCCCCATCTTTCCCCTACTGCTTTCTCTCCAGACTGCGTGTGAATTTTCTCTCCTTTCCCTCCATCTGTACTTCTATATTTGTCCTTTTTTGCCTCTCCCCTCAATCTCCTGCTCCAGCTGAGCAGGGGGTGACCTGCTCATGGTGGTGCCAACGTTCTCCTCGTCAGTGCTCCCCACAGCAGTGCAGGGAGCTGTGAGAGTGGAAACAAGGGGTCTGACATGAAATTAGAGTCAAGATCTCCCCTTCATACCATGTTTGGAGACCCTACTGCAGTCTCAGCCACTGAGAAGGGACGTGGCATCAGGGTTCTGGGGGCAACAGCAAGATGCAGAGAGGGCCTGCCCTGTAGTTCCTCCCCAGCCCATCCCATGTCACTGGGTTCCGAGCTGCTCAGCTGACATGCACACAACCTGTCGTGTTGCTGATCCGCTGGCTGCAGCCAAAGCCTTCTCTGCTTCCAACCTGTTATTTTGCTCTTCTGGCAATCGTGACATCCACGTGCAGGACTGTCACCCCCAGCCCTGGCAATGCTGCAGCAAGGGCTGGTTGCAGGTTATGGGAGGTGGTGAAAAAGAGCATGCTGCTGCTGCTGCGAAGTCAGGAATGGGGCCAGGCTCCAAAAGGCTGAGCCAGCCCATATGCTTTAACAGCCTGCACCCCCACCACAACATTTACCAGATGTTCAAGTGCACATCTTTGATTCATCCCATCCTAAAAGTTGAAAACATTTAAAAATGAAGAAGCAAGCACAGGCTATCACCCACTTAAAAAAATGAGTGTTTGGAGATGAGGCTTTACTTCAAGATCACCAAAACAATAGGAGGGGGGTGTGTGGATATGGGACAGGGGACCCCACAAAATAGTTCAAATCAGAAACCCAACCTTAGCCAGTCTAAAATTTAAGTAAATGTCTTCAAAAGAAGAGAAACTGGAGGGAAAGAAAATGCATGGGCAGAACCTCACCTCCTTCCCTCAACCCACACTCCGCCTGCAGGAGCCAGGCTGGGACCCCTGCCTGCCCCCCACGCAGGAGCTGTGCTTTAAAGAACAGCTTCGTCAGGACTCCAAGTATCAGCACTGCCTATCTCCAAACCCTCCTTTGCAGCGGCCAGTTTGGAACTGGAGAGGGGCCCAGCTGTGCCCCCAGGACTGGGCTGTCACCCCCGGGCACCGCGGCAGCCTGGCCGCACCGCCGCGTCCTGCCTGCCCCCGGGGAAAACCTCCTCCAGAGAGAACACGGCTCTCCCGCCAGCCTCAACAGCACCTAAATCTGAGCAAGGGGAGGAAACGTCGGGCAGTGTCCATGGTGTGACTCTGCCGAGGGCAGGGGCTGCTCCCGTGTGAGCAGCTGCACGGGCCACACCCCCTCGCTCCAGCCGAGCTGCCTTCTCCTGTTCTTTTTTGTGCCAGCTACAGGCACTTACCTTCTGAGCAGTGTTTGGAGCGTGCAATGCATCTGGTGTCTCAAAAGCCATTCCTCCCTCAGTTCCTCCTCTTTTGGAGACAATCATCCCTCCCCAGCTCTGAGGAGTCCCTCCAGATGTGCACGGCACGGGAGCCACTCAGCAGCCCTGCGAAGACCATCTCTGCATCTGCCTAACCTGTTCTATCAGGCACCTCCCGTGCTGAGGACCATTAACCTGCACACAACAGCTTGATGAATTAATGCTTATATAGACACAGTTGGCAGCTTCTAATTAAATAATTATGGCTAAGCAGCTGCGGAGAAGTTGTGATGTTCCACTGGAAGGCCAGATGTCAATTTTATTGGTCCTCAAAGTTTCAAATGAAAGGCTGGGGGAATTTGGGAAGGGGGTGCTTTTGCTCCAGTGCACTGGGTAGGTACCATGCCTGCTCTCAGGCTGGCTGGCTGCAGCCAGACCCCCATGTGCATGGCTGGAGAACCTCTGAGCCCCCAGCAGCTCTGGCACAGCAAGCAGTGAATGGCACTGATCATAACAGAACAATTTGGATCAAGATAAAGAGAGTGATTTGGCCTCATGGTTGTTGCTTTAGCTTTCACTCAGGGAGGCAAAAATTTACTTCTGAAACTGTATCAGTGTCAAAAACCCACCAAAGAGATGGTGGGAGCCAAATGCAAAGCCAGTTAAACTGGGTAAGAATCTTTCCAGGAACTTTTAACTAGATTGGGCTTTCCCTGCACTGGTGAGAGGTTTTGTGACACCTACCACAGACTGTCACTCCCCAAATTCATAAGGTACCTCTCATCTCAGGACCTAACCTAGCTTAGAGAAGCAGAAGCAATGAGCGCTCCTTGAGGGTAAAAATTTTAGTAATATGAAAACCAGGAGTCTGTGTTTGCTAACTCATGCAAAACCTACATTCATCCTCTCTTCCACAGACAAACCATTGTGCCTACAGGAACCTTGTGCCTATGAGGAACTTAGATTTTTTTTTTTCTGATTTTAAATATAAATGCAAACACAAGTTATTCTAAACCATTCCTTTAACCACATTAATTCTCCTGTAACTTGCACAAGACACTGTGATTGCAAGCAGAAGAAGCCTAATAATAGAAATCATCCATCCCTGTCAGAATATAAGCAGATCCATGACCTTAGAACCATTTTGCTAAGAAATCCAGCTAAAAAACTAATTTTGAGAGAATCTGTGCATGTCAAAAATACAGATGGTTTCTCAGGATGCTAACTTAAGCATCATTACATAAGCAGATTAGGGCTGCCTGTTGAGCCCAGCCACACGAGTAGATGGCGCTGAATCCAGCATTCCACACAAACTATTCCCTTCCTGATCCATCTTCCATCTCAAACTTTTGTCAGCTCTGCAGGCTGGCGAGCTCTGAGCTCAGTGGGCAGCACTGTGCCTGTGCCAGCCCAGCCTTGTCCTTCCTCCCCCAGCCCACTGCCCAGAGCAGAGCCTGCCTACAGCCCCTTGCTGCAAAGGGGATGGGGAAATGGTCCCTCCTGCACCCTCCTGGAACAAAAATGGAGGAAAACGGCCTCATCAACCTCTACACATTCAAGCACAGCAGCTGTGGAATGATTTTCTGGTACAGAACTGTAGAACTGAAATCACCCTCGTGTCACCATTGGTAACAGTGCCTCTACCCAAAATCAGCTTAGGAAGTTAATAGTCCTGCCCGAGCCAGCAGCTAAAACTGCCACGATGGTCTGATCTGGTGTCGGGGTACGCAGGGCAGACACTTCTCCCTAGGAGGACAGTTTGGTTTCCATAGGTGTGCTGCACCCCAGGGCACAGCAACCTGCCTCTCCCTGCTCTGCCCCCTCCCTCCCGAGCCCATCCGCTGGCTCTGAGGAGGCCCCTGCCCAAAAGCAGCCAGGGGGATGGGGTTTTGTCATCCCTCCCCCGCGTGTAAGCGTGTCAGGTCTGTTGATAGATGGCCTGGCTGACTGTGCTTGACTATTCTCAAGCAGCTACCACCTTTGCAAACTGAATCCCGTTGGAAGATTTTCTGTAACTAAACCTGTGGTGTGTTTGCAAGGGTTCCCCTGCGTCCCCACGTCTTGGGGGAGGCCGTGGGGTGGCTGATGGACACAGCCAGACAGCAGCACCCTCAGGCCAGGGACGGGGCTTCTGGCAGTCTGTGCTGCCACCTAGCCAGGACCAACCCGTCGGGCTCAGCCCTGCCTTACATTCTGAAAGCTTAAACCCAGCCGTATCCCCTCAGATCTAAATAAAGCCTCGGTCCGCAGCAGACACGAGGAAATCTCTGCTCTGTGCTTTGAGAGTTGTACAGTCAAGGAGGAGAGCAGCTGAAAGCAGGTAGCTGGGTTTCCCTCAGGGACGTCTCGTACTTACGGTAGAAGACGTATTCAGTGTAGCTGGACCAGACCTTGTCCTCTGTGTACTGGTTGACAAAGGAAGCTGTCACCGAGGAGTTGCAGGCCACCATATGGAATCCACACTCGGACAACATGTCAAAAGCCCTCTCCAGGTGCTTGAACTTGAGATAAAACCTGGAGGTGTACCTTTCTGGAGCCCGGTCAGGGTCTCTGCTTTCGTTCAAACTCTCTCCAAAGACCTCTTTGACCAGAGCAATCCTCCCACAAACCAAAATCCTCGGGACCCTCCTGAATTTGGCATCAGCTTGGCTCTCTCTGCCAATGGTGCACGACCCCCGGTAGCCGATGGTGATGAACCCCCACTTCCGGTCGGGCGGCAGGAGCGACGAGGGTGGGCATATTCTGGTGTCACTGCCCTGGGACACCTCTTCATAGTCACTGTGGCAATAGTCGTCGGGGCTTTGCTTGCTGTCATCAGGAGTCAGGAGTTTGACCAGGTCTGGGAGCTGGAAGTACTCGGCCTCCCTCTTGAGCCTCCCCTTCTCTGGGAAGTGGTCAGGCAGAACCACTTGCTTGTCCCTGAGATAGTCCAGAATGTATCTGAAAAGGAAACCATCTCTGTCGATGAAGAATCTTCCCTTGGAGTCCTTGGCCAGGTCGTTGGCTGTGTCTCTCTTTGGGGTGAACATTTTCCACAGCAGGGAGTGAGGGGTGCCAACTAAGGTGGAGTGGCGAGTGAAGTAAACCTGGCCGCCCACATTTAGCTCCACCACCTCTGGGAAGGAGTGCAGCCCCGTGCCCTGCTCTCGAGGAGGAAGGTAAGTCCTGCAGTTGCCACTTAGAGCCATTGTACTCTAAAACAGGAATCGGCAGCACGAAGCAGCAGGACTATCAATCACATCCAAGTGCAGAATAAGGCTCCCGACATGAAGAAGAAACCAGGGGGCAAGGGGAAGTGAGGAAAAAAAAAAAAAAACAGCCAAAAGATTTGTTTAAAAAAAAAAAATCTGAATTGTCCAGGAGTGACAGTGTGGCAGAAGTGGGTTATACCCTAAGCCACAGAGGCTGGAGAGAATCACTTCACGAAATGCAAACACATCATTAGATCTTCCCACAAAGCCATCAAAATCAAGGTCAAGCCAAGCCTATGGTCATTCACAGGTCTGTCAAAAGGGAAAAAAAAAAGTAAGACATAAATTAGCCTTTTAAGCATCACAGAAGCTGCAACAGAGAAAATCAGATCAGGTTAGAAAGCCAAGCTGGATCTCCTGCTAAATACAGCTTTTTTTTTTTTTTGCAACTTCTACGCTTCTTTTTTACAAGTACTAATCAATAGAAGCACTACCTATGACTCTACTGTTTTAAAGAAAAGACATACTTCATCTTTAAAGAGACATCTGGTACAGACATGCACACGAGGGAACAGGAACAGCGAGTCTTACCTTGGTTACCATGAATGCATAGCTCTTGCAAAGGAAAGCAAGATTCCCAGCCACTCAGAGCACACGCACAGGCACACAGAGTCCGGTTAGGATGGAATCCGATCCCAGCAAGGGACAGCAAAGGCAGGAAAAGTGCTCTCGGCAACATCCGTGTAGATCTCACGAGTTAAACCGAGTCACAGGAAAGTTAACCGTGGCAGGCGACGAGAGAAACCAACGCACGCAGCACGATGGGGGAGAGGGGAGATAAATAACCCGCAACAACCCCCCCGGAATGGATCCGCTCGGGGCCGGGGGAGCGCGGGGCGCGTTTCGGCTGCCTCAG